CCTCTTCCTTTTCTCTCTTTCCCTCTTCCTTTTCTCTCTTTCCCTCTCACTCACTCATTTTCTTTTTTTCTCCCTCTCCTTCACTCCTTCCCCTTCTCCTGCCACTCCTTCATTCCTATCCTGCCTGCCCCATCACCTTCCCTCTCTTTGTCAGTCTCTCATGCTGCTGATGTGGTTTGTGGCTTTCTATGTGTTGCCCTGGATGACATGTACCAGAGAGACGCCAGTTCTTGTGAAACAGATGTCTTGAAGTTTATTTGCCGTGCTCAATGTTGCAAGGCTATGATATCACAGACTTACACTTATTGGCTGGGTTTGGTGTTTGCTGATGTGATTTAACACGACATGCCCGTAGCTAACTGACTAAAGATACACTGACTTCGTTAGGCAGAGAGAGTGACTGAAATTGAAATGAGTACTTGACACTAGAACATCACATGTCGTGCTGTCATGTAACTGCCTTCAAGGTACAGGGCTGTCTGGTCTAGAATCTATGCTGTAATACAACAAAATAACATACAGTCAATGTGTCAACAACTGTTTACAATAGTATCTTCAAAGTCTCATACATAAGAGAACATAGCAGGGTAGTCAGTCACCAGAATACAGTCATGTCTCGGACACAGAAAGCATCAGTTGCAATCTTGATTAGAAAGAATCTTGTGCACAAGGAGAGGTTCTGTCGATTGTTGAGATTGATCACTTGATTAATTGATCAATGTCCTTATTATTGTCAGATCATAATGTGGATTCATTCAGTAATGTCTTGGTTTTCTCCCAGTGACCGAAAGTGTATATTCTTGTCATAAAACCACAAGACCTAAGTCATGTTTCCCTTAGAGATTACATTCTTGGAGAGAGTCCTGCTTCATATAATCAAAACAAACCTCCTAGCTTGGGGGACCTGTTGGATGTGTTCGGGCCAATTGATCATATTAACCTTTGTGAACTTTTGTGGTTGGTGATCGTCTGACATAGCTGAGCAGAGCACATCCATAAGCTATGACCAAAATATATCACATTGATGTTACAGTCTGGAATATTTGTAACTGATGGATTTATCACCTCATGTATCGTAATGTCACGAAGATCTGCGCATGCCATTGGACTGATGACAGAATGTCAGTCTGCTTCAGTTATGTCAAAGATCTTGGGTGCCCGGCATGAGGATCTGTGTTGGTATTTAGGATGGATAATGCGTAGAATGTCAGTCCCATTGTAAGCAGTTATCTTTTGTGGACTGTACCACACTGTGTCAGTGTACTGAGTACATTTCATAAACAGTGCAGTCTTGACATACACTGCATGTTGTCCATTTCTTTTTGGACGTGTCACTTGGATGGAAGTAAAAGTTTCAGCTTTTCTGAAGTGTGCAGGTCGGCCAAGTTTACAACATGCACTGGGGGTCTATCAGCTGAACACTGTAGTTACCTCTTGGACTTCATTCACTTGCTTGTGTGCCATGGATGGAACTTGTGAGACTTCTCTGGAACTGTTCCTCCGTTGACCATTCTTCACGTGCTGCTCTGGAGCGTTTGTGAGGCACTTTGGGTTTCTCTGGATGATGGATTTCTTACACATTATAGCTCGATGTCCTCTTGGAGAACATAGCTTGAATATGTTGCTAAATACTGGACAATGTCTTGGTGAGTGAGACAAACCACATCGCTCTCTCTCTCTCTCTCTCTCTCTCTCACTGATTCTGTCAGCCTGCCTCTTGTCTAACTCAACATTTGGGAGCAGCCAGCTCCAGAATGATAATGACAGAGATCTAAGAAAAAAAAACACAGGGTGGGCAGAAAACATGGAACAAAAAAGGCAACCTATCTACTGTATACTCATCACTAAATGCAACGCTGACATTCAAGAATACCCTAGTTTGGAGACTGATATTTTATTTCCTCCCCTCAGCCCTGACCCATTGTAACCATGGAAATGGCATCTTGTATCTCACAAGGAAATGCAGCATCTCTTCTTATCTTTCTCTGTTTCCTTGTGAGGAAAAGAGACTGATAAAGTTCTTGGTAACTTTACATTTCCTGCTACCAAGTGAATTATCGGTCGCTTCTCCATCCAAGGCCCTTGTGTGTTCATTTAAGTGCCTCTGACTGCTCTTGCTCATAAATCGTTCTGATTTATTTTTCCAGTTCCTGCTGTGCAACTGTGGTGTGTCTGTCAGGCAGGCAGTGAAAGTTTATCTAAAGTCTTTTTCTTATTACATTTACCCACCCCATTTTCTTTTACTGCATTGTGAGAAGTGTCTCTTCCTGGGTCAACCAAACTATTTTGGAGTGGAAGGGATAAGAGGGGGCAAAATAGCTTAATAACTACAGCTGTTTTTGTATGTGTCTGGCACCGTTAATATCCCAAGACACTGCACAAGGCCACTGTCAAACAAAATTTGAAACCAAGCTGCTTGGACAGGTGGCCAAAAGATATAATTTCAAGGAAGTGAGAGAAATGGGAAGATGGAGATGTTTAGGGAAATATTCAGGCCCTTCAGTTGAAGCCCATTCACTCATGGTGACATGATACTTTTGCATCTGGTTCAGAACTGCAAGTTCTATTCCTCTCCTTGCGATACATCTTCCCTCAGTAGGAGGGAGCTTACTGCCACTCGACCTACCTCTGTCTGCCTCCTACTTGAATGATCCAGGGGCTGCATCCTCCAAAAAGTGACAGACAGTTGGAATGTTACAGACGAGTCTTAGGAGATGAAGAAAGCATGGACTGTCCCGTCCCTTCTGGGTGGCATTGGTATTTCATGAATTTGCGTGCCAAAGAGGCAGAGGTCGAGAATGACCTTTAAAAGTGCCCGCTGTATACGTCTCAAGCCACCCGTTATGCTTAGTGATTTGGAAATTCTTTTAACCCTATGGAATTTATTTGCATGCGCACAGTTTGAAGGTGCAACCAGAGGGTCTTCAGAGTCACAGCCAATAAATTCCACCACATTTCCTATTCAAAAAAGATATGGTATAACCAGCTGAAACAACCTTAAAGCAAATATATCACAAGTGGCTAAACAAAAAAATGGTCATCACATGGGCGTATGTACCTCTTGGAATTATTGAATCATACAACAGAGGGAGAAGGGACTGGGCCCATTGTGCCTGCATCAGTTCTTTGAAAGAATCCTCCAATTAGTTCTCCTACTCCTTCTCAACAGCCATGTAAATGTTTCTATTTCAAGTGACCATCCATTATCTTTTGGAATTTAGTACTAAATTTGGTTCTGTCACCCTTTCAGGCATTGCATTCCATATCATCATCATTGTCTGCAAACAAAAAAATTCCTTCTCATCTTTATGCCCGTTGTATGGAAAGTTCATATTTACTTGTACCAGATGTTAAATGACACACAACATCTGTGTGTTTTTGTCTGCAGTTATGAAAGCTGCAAAAAGCATTAATTGTTGGGCAGATTAACTATTTGACGGTATCTCCAATAAGATTCTTGCAGGAAAATGTAACCATTTCCATCATTGTTCTTGAGCTGAGGAGGGAGAAGGGTTGACCAAGGTGACTTCTTGCGTTAGGTTTTTATCAGTTAAGTTTGAGGTTAAATGAGGGCATAAGAGAACATTGGCCAAAGTCCACATCAGGCTTGACTGTAGCGACCTTAGAAGTAAAAAGACACATTGGACATTCACTGTCAAGACTTGTACGTAAAGGGGTCAGTCACATCTCCGTCATTGGAAACTCTCTCACCTCTGAGTCAGAAAGTTGAAGGCTCAAGTTCAAAGATTGGAGTAAAAGTTCTGTGATGGAATACTCTCCTGTGACCGGATGACTGGAGTTTGAGGCTGTTTTTGTCAACCAGGACAAAGCATCTCATGTGGTTGGCACCCCATTAGTCATGTTTAATCATTCATTGATCCAATGTGGTTGTAGCGTGCACCATCAACAAGATGCACTGCAGCATCGTACCAAGGTTGCTTTGACAGCACTTTCCAGACCCTGTGACTTCTACCATCAAAGGAAGCAGGCACATGGGAACAACATCACTTGCAAATCACACGTCACGATTACTTAAAATTACATTCCTTCACTATTGTTGGGTCAAAATCCTGAAACTCCCTTCCTAACAGCACATTACCCTGAATTAATGCAGTGGCTGAAGCTTGGAGCTCACTTGCCCCTTCTCAAAGGCAGTTAGGAATAGGGTAATAAAAGGCTGGCCCTGCTGACATCCCACAAACAAATATATATTAAAAAAATCCAGGCTGACACTTCAGTGTCGTGTAAGAGTATTATAATGGATTTTAAGAACAAACTCCCTTGCATGTATTGCAATTAATACAGAAGATGGCTGAATAGATTTACTTCTGTCATTTTCAAGCTATCCTGTTCCCCTCTGTGGGTGAAAACTCCTTTCCAGGGTCTGATTTCACAGGGCGCTTGAACCCCTCTGGTCATTCGTGCATGACAGTAGACTGTAAAGTTCTATGTCAGACTGCCATATATGGCTCAGTTATTTTCAGACTAAACTATTCCAGTGCTTCCCTGGCTCATTACCATCTTCTAAAGTGTATTTAGGGATGCTGACAAATGCTGCCTTGCCAGTGACTCTCATCCTATGAATGAGTATATGCTTTGTTTATACACTTACATTAAAAGGAAGTCTCCCATCTTCTAGCTTCCATAAGCTCGTGTTCATCCAAAACTCTCATGCCTGTAAACTAATTTACACTAATTCACACTCGCCTAACCTCCCTGGACTCCCTGACCATATGCTTCCAGTTGGGTAACACTTTGAATGTAAAATTTTTGGCCCATGTGTTCAATTTCCTTCGTACCCCTTGCTCATCTCCAGACTGTTCCAGGTCTTTGGGAGCTCTGTGTACCTTCAATTCTGTCCCTTTTAGTGCCCTGAATTTTAATCTCATGACCATTGTTGGAGCACCTTCAGTTGTCCCAGCCCTTGCCTCTCGAATTCCCTCTCTCTACCTGTTTGGTCAAACCTGCCCCAGTATTTCCTGATGTGGCTTGGTTTTAAACTTTATCTGATTTTGCAGTGCTTACAGATACTGTGTAAGTGCAAGTTGTTCTGTTAAGCAATAGGGGAGGCTACTTGATCAAAAACAGGCCAAATTCATTATGGCGTGCACGCACATGAGCGTTTTCTACAGGATGCCAAACAGAAGTGGAAACTTCAGTTTATTGCCTTTGCACCGAGTTATTGTAGTTTTCAGCACCCACCCCTGCAATACTTGGGCTGAATTGCTAATTCATTATAAACTCACAATTGGGCATGTGACCTTCCAGCTATTTCGATTTTTAAAAACAGGTAAGAGGCATAAAACTCAGCCCTCACTCTGTATTTCTTTTCTGCCCCTTGATTTTTCCCTTTCCTTTGCTCTCGTGAGTTGCTTATCAAGGACAGGTTGAACCAATTATAATTGTCTGGGTAGTTAAGCATATCAGGAAGTATACTGATCTATTTGATCCATCAGAAAAGGTATCCCATTCCAATACATCTCGTGCACTGATGTAAATGTGCAGGAAGTGCTCCCAATGATGAGCCGGATTGCGGTTTTGTTGGGTGAAGTCTCCCGAGTGTGTGCCTTTAATATGGGGCAGAGAATCTGGTTTAGCTGTGATTCTGCCACAGTTGAATAGCTCATCAGCAGTCACTCCGCGACCAAGCAATTCAGTAAGGTACACGGTAAAACAATCCTACAGTTAGGTGGCTGCTCACACCTCAGCTGCCCAAATCATTCACTATTCTTCCAGAGGAGGTGAAGGATTTGTAACACTCTAGATATCGTTACAGTCCTTGATAACTTTAAAAAATAATTTGAATTCCAGTGCCTGTCTGAGAAGACTCCACAATGTTTCGAGCCTGTAGACTTTTATGGTAATAAAGAAACTAAAAGCAATTTTGTATAAACACCACTCAGTAGAAACTCATAACGTTAAACTACAGAAAAGGTCATGCTTTTCACTGAAAGCGTTTGAAAGACCCGCACAATGGTTATTTTTTTTTAGTCACTTAAGTGGACACATCATTTTCCAGGATCCAACCCAAAGCCATCCACAGTTCTAACTGGCTGGCTTCCTTTACCAGCCAGAAAGCTTCCAATCCCTAAATTTTTAAAAAAATTATTCATTCACAGGATGTGGACATCGCTGACTAGGCTAGCATTTATTGCCCACAGCGCAGTTAAGTGTCAACCACATTGCTGTGGGTCTGAGTCACATGTAGGCCAGACCAGGTAAGGATGGCAGTTTTCCATCCCTGAAGGTTTTCCCAACAATCGACAATGAATTTTTGTTCATCATTAGAATATTAATTCCAGATTTTTACTGAACTCAAATTCCACCATCTGTCATGGTGGGATTTGAACCTGGGTCCCCAAAACATTACCTAGCTCTCTGGATTAACAGTCACTATAATACCACTTGGCCACTGCCTCCCCATGCTGATGGTGAGTTTTACCCGCCTTGTTTATAAAACTTGGTGTCTTTAATCTGAGTGTGAGCTCCACCCACAAGACTTGCAATCGATCCTAAAATGGCTTCCTCCAGACCTCAACTTCCTAAAGGCTATCTCCATGACAATTCAAATCACTTGTGTCTTGTAGACATGTTGAAGTGTTAATGCTGTGTAATATAGATCCCCAACTCTGCGCAAACTTTAAATTAAGTAGACAGCTGACTGTATAACTGTTCACAAAACCAAGCATACCAAGCACCACACTGTAACTCGCAGATGAACAGTCTATCAGCAAAGCTGCAGTGGTGTGAATATCATGCACCTTCCTCCCAGTAATATGACTTGTGACCACCTCTAATGATCCCTTTAACGACCAAGCCACTGAAGCTTGTTGTCAGGCAGAGTTCATAATATGTCACACTCTGCCATTTTATTCTACATTAAACAGACAGATCCAAATGGTAATAAATGTACAAACTTCATGTGTGTAACATCATTATACCACGTCACACATTGTTTTATAAATGGTCATTGTGCGTTTTGCTGCTAAAGGTGAAAGAGCTGTGCAATTAACCTGTTTTCTCTCTTTTTCTCTTGCTCGCTCTCTCTTTGATCTCCCCCCTTGTCTCTTCCACGCCCTCCCCACCGCCTCTCTCCCTCCCTCCCTCCCGTGTGTGTCTCTCTCTCTCTCCCTCCCCATCATCTCTCTCTCCCTCACCCCTCACCGTGTGTCTCTATCTCTCTCTCTATTTCTCTCTCTCCCCCCCTTTCTCTCTCCCTCCCTCACACCCCATGTGTGTGTCTCTCTCTCTCTCCCCCACCGTCTCTGTCCAACTCCCCCCGTCTCTCTCTCCGTCCCCTCCTTGTCTGTCTGTCTTTCTCCCCTCCTCGCCTGTCTCTTCCCCCTTGTTTCTCCCCCCATGTCTCCCTCTTCCAACCCCCTCCCCCCATGGTCTTTCTCTTACCCCTGCCCCATCTCTCTCTCTCTCCCCTCTCCTTGTCTCTCTCCTCTCCTTGTCTCTCTCCCCTGCCCTTGTCTCTCTCTCCCACTCTTGTCTCTCTCTCCCCCATACGTCTCTGACTGTCTCTTTTCTCTCCCTATTCCCCTCCTGCCTCCCCCTCATCCCCTCATCCCCCTCCTCCTTCATCCCCCTCCTCTCTCATCCCCATCCTCTCTCATCCCCATCCTCCCTCTCCCTCATCCCCCTCCTCCCTGTCCCTCATCCCCCTCCTCTCTCTTTCTCTCTTCTTCAGTCTCACTCCCCCTCCTTTTTGTCTTTATCGCGCACGCTCTCTCTCTCCCTCTCTCTCTCTGTCACCACCACCCCCACCCACCTCTTCCTCTCCCTCACATCTCTGTCTGCCTGTCACGCACATGCACTTATTTCTTGAGCACTGGTGTTCCATCATGGTGCTGCATTATAAGGAGACTTTATTCGCTTGCTTCATATTTTTGAGTACTTTGACTGAAGATCAAAACGAGAGTTTCAATTGTACCCATTTATTTTGTATATGCCTAGCTGTTAAAAACTTGGTAGTCCAATGTCTTTGTTCCTTTTATTTGCATTTGACTGATTTGAAACCTTTTTCTTCACTACCCTTAAGGCCCTGACAGATGCATTATAATCCGGTCACTCCATCCTGTTTACTTATTGGAGAGAATGGGTTAAAAATCTGTGGTTTTCGTTGAGTCCCAGCTGTTGTTGTGTGTAACCTCATCCATCTTGTCTTTCTCTTGGCAGTGATTTGACAAAGAAGGTGGAGTTTTCTGGAGACCGTGGCCCTCTGGGAATCCATGTAGTACCCTTCAACTCTACGTTGAGTGGAAGGTAAAGTATCCAAGAGCGCATCTATACTTAAACTACACAGAGATTGTGTCCCCTGGGTTTTGGATCCATATGGTGCCCTGGATATACAACTCCCAACATGAGCACTCCTCCAGCTGAGCACTGGTTCAATAAAGTGAGGTCGGCTACAGGCCTTATTGATAAAGCATTGTTTCTCTGTCAATATGTATGTTTACAGAATGTTACAGGTTTCCAGTCCATAACAATTTGGCCCCAAGTGAAATTTGTTGCTGCAATTACTTGTAGATGCTGTAGAGTGAAATTAGCAACTTCAAGCAGAATGAGTCTGGAGCTTTGCTCCCAGGTTTGTCATTCCTCCCTTTAGTTAGGCAGTGAACATCGCAAATTAGCAACACTTCTTAAAAAAAAAAAAAAAAAAAAAATCTGGTATGTGAAAGACTGGACAGTGAGTCAGCTTTCTCTGAAAAGCAGAAGGCCAAGGGCAACCTAACAAAAAGTCTTTAAAATTATGAAGGGGTTTGATAGGGTAGACATAACAGGAGATGTGGGAGAATCAAAAACTAGGGCCATTCCAGATAGGATAATCACTCAGGAATTCTGGAGAAACTCCTGACCTAGGCAACGGTGATAATGTGGAACTCGCTCCTACATGGAGTCATTGAGGTGGGTAGCATAGATGCATTTAAGGAGAATCTTGAGAAGTACATGAGGAAGAACAGAGTGGGTTTAGGTGAAAATGAGTGGGAGGAGGTTTGTTTGGAGCAAAAGCACCAACTCAAGAAGTTGGGCGGGGCTAGTCTTAGGCCTGTTTCTAGGCTATAAATCTTCCGTAGCTCCATATAAGCGCATCGAGTTAATTTTTCTTCTGGGAAATGAGCCAGCAAAACCCACGGATAGGTCATCGTGTGTGTCATCATCCTGAATGACTCCATACTTTTCAGTTTCCCCATTTCCCTCACCACTGGCTGTTATTTTTCATTCCATCATCGTGGTTTGTATGTTCATCTGTTTCACAAGTGGCAGAGGAACAATTCTGTAAACAACACAATTGTAGAATCTTACAGAACACATGGAGGTGGCTCAGCTCCTTGTGCCAGTCTCAGCTCTTTGGAAGAGCTATCCTGTTCATTATTGCTCCATAGCCCCGCAGATTGCAAATTTCTCCTCTTCAAAACCTTCCTTCTGAAAATTGATATGAATCTACCTACATCACTTTTCCATGCTACACATTTCGGATCATCCCAACCTGCTGCCTAAAAATAATAACGTTGCTGTTTTTTATGGTAAGAATTTCAGAAGTCAGGTTCTCCATTCAATAGGCGTGGATTCTGTTGAAATTATACAGTGGGCCAGTTCTAATTTATTTGTAAACTGGACGGAGGGCCTTTTTTTCCTGTTAAAATGGAAACGGTTAATGCTCAGTGCCTGTCACCCAGCAAGAACTCCACACTTTACGTGAGTTTGGCAGCACATGTGCCGAGATAATTTGGCATTTGAACAAGCCAGCTGCTTTAATTTTCAGGACATCAATGAAGAGCATCATAGAAAGCTTAGCATCGTAGAGACAATTAAAGCCATTCAGATCAAAGTGGTTCCTCTCCCAGGCTATCCGATCCTGGCCTGTCTTCACTCCATTTACCTGGCTTGATTCCATACGCTTCATTCAATTTATAAATATCCAACAATCTCTGATGTCTTTCTTTCAATTGATACCGAGCTTTGATCACATGGATTGGTTAGGTTGAAGGGCACGGATGCGTTTAAAGGGAAGCTAGAAAAGCACAGGAGAGTGTGAGGATGAGATGAGACAAAGGGAGCCAGGGGATACTCGTTTGTGTCATCAACTCAGGCAGAGAACAGTTGGGCTGAATTACCTGTTTCTGTACTGTAAATTCTGTGTAATCTGCAACTTTTTCCGCCATTAGCCTTTGTGTGTCCAAGTACATAACTGCACCAGTGATGATGTAGATAGATCAAGAAGCTAAGGTTACTCATGAGACAGTTGTTCTGGTAAAGGTACAAAATTAGAATTTTTTTTATGACGGGACAAAGCTAATTAGAGTGGATCCCAAAGGGGATTTGTGCACATGAGACAAATGGATAGGAACACCTTTCACACCTTGACAGCAGACGGCAAGCTTGTGACTTCAGGTTGGGGAGATATTTTCAACTGTTCACCACAGCACCCTTCCCTGCCGCATTGTAGTATCAGGAATTGTCCCAGACAGGTGCCTAGGTTGAGCAAAGGTGACCATGTGCTGTTAGTGTTAAACACAGAGGTGCTGTGCTAATGTATTAATTAATACTATTTAGAGTAATTTGCACCTCTTTAAAACAAATACAGCAGCAATGTGTCTGTTAGCAAATCCTTTCATCATTTTTGCAACATGGCTCAGGCAACCCTACCTCCCCAGTCAACGTGAAGGGTGTCCGAATGCCATGCAAAATTGAAGTGAATTCTGGTTTCCTGCCTCTGAGAGTCACACCCTGCCAGCAAAAATCAGATCTGCCTGAGGAAGGGTGCTGGGTGTGGGGGGAGCAGCAGGCCTTCTGCATTTGGATGCTGCCTGCCATTTTTAAAAGCCTTCCCCACTCTGCTAAAATCCAGCCCTGTGGAATCATTGAATGGCTTAACCTGTAGGATGCCATTTAGCCTCTCATGTCCATGCTGGCTATCTCTAAGAACCACTTTGCTAGTCCTATTCCCCTAATTCTGTGCCTAAATCTCTCCACTTCTCCAGTTCGCCCCCTTTTAAGTTGTTCCTCGGTAACCTCACATCTCCTTTAATGGTCTGCTGTCAAACTTTGAACGATAATGCACCTGTTAAACGCCTTGGAATATTTTGCCGTGTTAAATACAATTGTAGAAACGTTGTCCCCCATTGGATTTGTGTATTTGGGCACTGAATGGCTTAATAAAGCCATAAGTTAAAATGTTGAACTTATGGGAAATTTTATGTGTTCCCTTTCATGCTCATTGCTTATTAATAGAAATGAAAACAGAACATTTTAATACTTTGTCAAGTATGTATTTTGATTGTGCTTTTCTAAGTCCCTTATACATATATGTGTCTATGTGTGTGGATATATACATATATTTTAAACTAGATAAGATTCCTGGCCTTTGACTTTACATCTACGGTACATCGACTGTAAAGATTTAACATTAAATTCCTTGGAGGGAAAGAGGGTAAAGTGGAGAAGCACTAAGAATCAGTAATAGACCAGAATGAACAGATGATCAATAATAATCACAGAAGTTCATCTATAAATGACTGAGTTTGAAATACTGCTATCACTAAAGCATTGGATTACTTTTTTATTTATTTTACATTTACAACTTTTACAAATTGCCCGGAAAGCATAGGCATAAATTTTAACCAAAGCACTCAGAGAAAATTCCTTTTTTATAAAAACAGCGGAGAGAGCAGTGAAAAATTGAATTCATTACCTCTTCAACCACATTGCTCACTTCAGCATTGAACAAGGTACTGATAGAACTGTTTGTTCCCTCAGCACAACTAATTTTAGTGCCTTAACATTCAGCAACACACAAGGACGGTACCTACATTTGTACCTGTGACTAACCAGCTTGGGGAGTGAAATCACTGCACAGAGGCCAGTATCCCCTCACCAAGTCACCCTTTATTTACATGTGCACAGTACATGGTCTCTGACCAGCCAGCTCAAAGCCAGTCCCTACACTGAGGAGACCTTCTGAATCTTGTGCTTATATCTGTCAGCCAGGACTCCCTGATTGGCCCAGGCTGACAACCCCAATCAAGGATCTCATAGGCATTGAGATCCACCTGACCCTGGTTCCAGTCACTACAGGGAGTTCCTGATCTAAGCCTGGCCATCACTAGGGCAATCAGCATAGACTGTATTTCTCTAACCCCAACTTGAGGTCCTGTTACCACTCCAAAGGGGTAATCCCCAGGGTATGATACTTCCTACCACGTATGTTTTCCCCGATTTCCTTCACTCAACCAGCCTAGGCCTTTGGCTATGGAATTCTATCTAGTCAATATCTTTGCCTCACAAAGAAGATCCTTAAAAACTTATTTCTAACTTTTGACAGCTGTCCTAATGTTTTCTCATTTAGTGAATACCAAATTTCATCTGATGATGCTCCTGCAAAGCACTATTGAGTCATTTACCACACCATACAAGTTGTAGATGTTTACCTTTCACTCTGTGTGAAGTCGTGCGTGTGCATGTGCAAATTGCTTTCTCTGTAAGACTGCAGCCACCTTTAAGAATTCTTCCACGCTGGAGCATGGTAGCAAACACTGTGTTTCTAAATCTCATATTAAACAATGAGTTTACAACTGAAATTGCTCTGTGCCAGTGAAGCAAAAACAAACCCAGCTTGTTCTCCCTTTTAAATAAGGGGACTCATGCTGAGGTACAGAGCCATTTTTGTGAGGAACCCTTCAGCCCATCTCTGAAGGCATCATTCTTGAATTATGAATTAAACCATGACTGGGTGATGACTGTTTGGTTATTGGTGTCACAGATGCCCTCCCTATCTGTGTTACTCTGTATTGATCACTAGATACATCAGGGCTAAATGCTGCTCATCCTCTCAGCTCCCTCCCCTCTCTAACAAACTCATCCCTACATGTCAACTCAGCACAACCTAAAGTCTGAAAATGTGTTTTTGAGATTTTTTTGAGTTGATGGCTTAAAAAAATATTCAGCCCATAGCAGTGTTTTATCTGGCTTCTGGCTGTCAGTATGCAGACACGCCATCTGTTGGTTTGCTTTTGGATGAATTGTAAGCAAATAATGATTAGCCTGAAAGGATTTTACTTCATGGTGATTGTCGTTTCCTTGTGCTGTGTTCCTTAACATAGAATTGCCAGTCTCATGCTGGATTGGTAAGTAGCGTAGATTCAAGCTACCTGAAAATGTTAGACTGGTTTACCTGACAGACAAGCTGATAACTTGCAGTTGAAAAGCAATTTATGTATGTAGTGATTGGAATGAAGTCGGCCAGGTGAGCATCATAGAATGAG